GCCAGTGAGCGCGCGAGAATTTCTGCAGTTGTCGTAAAAAGTGAGTTCGCAAGTACGTCGCGCGCTTGTTCCGTAGAAGCACGTGAGTGAGTTACATAGTGAGCGCTTTAAAATTAAGCAAGGACTTCCAGCACTGGAATTGAAACGAGTGATTGATAGCTATGATTCTAGTGACTCAGTAATCCTGACCCTCGCATGCGAGAGGCTTAGTGTCTCAGGGGCGAGGCTGTTAATTCTTCAAACGATTTCATATAAAATCCTACATGAGAGCAGTATGTTTTTTGCCCAACTAAAAGTTAATAATAATGTCTTACATGACCGTAATTTTAAAAGACCATTGAATGCTTTCTTTAATCTGTAAAGAAATTTCAAAGATTTCATGCCAGATGGATGAAAATCATCAACTGAATGGAAGAAAATGACCGACCCTAATTACATATTATGATAATCAGCTGCGTTAGTCGTCTATTTCAGTGTACAGTACGATTTTCAGTTTTGTAATGTGACCGATCGTGAAATAGTGTGGCAATATCCATGCAATTAGCTACCAAACATTTGTCACTACTACACTGTACAATCAAACTAAATATAATAAAGGTGATATTTAGCACTTACTACCATTGTGTTTAGTTTATGTTTCTAGTTGTGTAATCAACTGAATTAGGGTTTCATTGGTTGACTAACTGATTGAGTGATCATTGACTGATTGATTATTCTGTCGTTCGATCGACTTTCGTGATTGACAAAAACTTGTTCTGGAGCTTTTCCCACAGATTAAATTTATTGAAAGGGGCGGAAAAAACTCGTCCCCTTGCATGTACAAGGGAAAATTGCTCAGAACGAGTAGGGTGAAACCGATCACGACCAGTACCGACCCACCGACTGACCAGTATGGACCGACCGACCGACTGACCCGACCGACTCACCGACCGACCAGTACCGACCAACCGACCGACTGACCAGTATGGACCGACCGACTGACCGATGGACCCGTAACGACCGACTGACCGACCGACCGACTGACCGACCGACCTACTGACCGACTGACTGAATGATTGTCCGTGAGTGTCTATGATAAAATCACCGAAATTAAAAACGATTGCTCTTTAATAACTCAAGATGGGAAGAGACAACGCTTGAGACCACATTGTTCGTTGTTTATTTAGCTTTCCTGAATTATTGCCTGTCAAAGCTAGCTTTCGGTCTTTTCTCTAAATTGTCTTACGCTTCTTTCAAAATCTCACACGTTTCTGCCTTCGTTAATGGTCTTGCATGATGGTGACTTGCGTGTGGGTCATTCCGTCATTTGCCCACTTGTATTCCCTTAATCAAACCGTACACCTTTGCGTAATTTTATCAGGCAGACATTTTCCAGTTTGGAAGTCCGACCAAAATCGTACCTTCGGGATTCTGGTTGCTTTTGGAAGCAGATCATGTTCTTAGATATTACCAGTGACTTCCCCCGTACCTTCTTACTCGCTCATTATTCCTTCATGTCCTGAGTAACGCTTTCAGCCTCATTTCCCAATCCCGAGTCGTGCGATTTGTCCTTTACAAGGATCTCGTTTTTCTTGCCCTCCTTCAGCCATTCGTTCATCCTCTTACCTGTGTACCATGGGTGATTCTTGATTCCCGAGATGTCAATTCTTTCGTTCTCGACACGAAGCATCTTTAAGATGAGATGTTTGGCTTCCTCGGAGACGTTCCGCTTCTTGGGAAAAACGACTGTCTTCGAGACCTGACAAGGCACAAAGTAGGCATAAGACCATAGCATTTCATAAAAGATTTCTGAAATAGTTAGTCTCAGTCAGGGTCGATCAAGACGGTATAAATTTTGTTACAACGCTCATTCAGGTTATAAAATAACTACTTGGTCTAAATCAAGCCTATGACTTACTTACAGCCACGATACTTGTGAAGACCCCGACCGGAAAATGTGGTAGCGAGTTGTTCGATATTACGGGCCGCTTGGCCGGCAACGCTATACTGAAACACTGGAATGCATATTGAAAAAATACTGCATCATGCAGCAGAACTCAGTTGAAACAGCTAAAACATTTTCTACCGCTTCTAAACGGCACGAAGATTTTTTCTTTTTTTCAATCTCAAACGAGAATCGATTAGCCTAAATCAAGCAAATTAACTCAATTATAAGACAATGCAGTTTCTGTTACCTGTTCCATTAGCGATCTGAGGTTTGAGTCATCGTAAGGTAATTTTGCGCATAGCGTGGTGAACAGCACAACTCCCAGACTCCACACATCCGAACGAGTTCCATCGTATGCGATACCACGAAGAATTTCAGGCGG